AATATGTAGGTTAAAATTATATAAATATTAATGTTTTCTTCATTAGTATTAATTTAAAAATAATGTAACTATATTTTTTAAATTTTTTATACTGAATCATCTTTCTAAGAAAAAAATTATAACTCATCTATTTTAAAAAGCTTATGAAGTATGAACTATTAAGTTCAATTTGTTCAAGTCAAAAACTGTTTTTTGTGACTTGTTTTAAATTAAAATTCAACTATAGTATATGTTACCCAAATTAATTAAATAGCTTAACCTAATATTCTTTTAATATTTTTGTTTACAACTATTATTTTCTCAGCTTAATAACAAATTCTTTGTTCAATTATGCAGGAACATTCTACTTTAGCGGAAGATGAATTTTATGACGCTGTTGAATCATCCAACGATAACTCTGCCGAGGATGCTAAACAAAGGAAAGATCAGTTACTGCAGTGTACAAAAAATAATGTTCAAACGGCTCAGACAAATTGGGGTGAGCTGATAAGAGCTGCTGCAACAAATGCTTCTTTGAAACATGYATATTGGCCAGAAGTAATGTCACTGTTTGATACTATATATTGATAAATTTGTATTTTTTTTCTTAATATTAAATTAAAATTCAATCATACATTTGAGTAAATCCAGAATTTTGTGTATTAAGATTGAGCGAGTAGTTGCCGAGCAAATTAGATCAGCTCGTATGGGTCTTGGCAAAGGAGCTTGGCAATTATTTGTCGAAGATGGGGAAATGAAAATGTACCGAAGAGAAGTCGAAGAAGATGGATTAGTTGTTGATCCTCTGAAAGCAACTCATCAAGTGAAAGGAATTACAGGTCGAGAATTATGTCATTACTTTTTTTATCCTGAATACAGATATGATTGGGAAGGTAAAATAATATTCTAATTTATAAATTTTAAAACTTAAAACTAAAATATTWTATCTCCAGGTACATTAGAAACAATGAATGTTGTTGATAAAATTGCCGAAGACACAATATTGTTCCATCAGATACACAAACGCATTTGGCCAGCAGCACAACGTGATGCTACGTTTTGGTCTCATCTTACACATGTTCCTGATGAAGGGAATAAGTCTGAAGACAGYCCTCACATGTGGGCAACTGTCAACAACTCAGTAGAATTACCATCACATCCTGTATGTCATTAAGATATTAAAAAAGTTCCATTTTAATTTAATTTATTTTGTTCTCAGTGTTAACTTATTATGTAACTAAATTTAATATCATATTTATGAGAAGAAAAGATATGTACATTTAATAACACAGTATACAGAAGATTATCAATAGTGTTAATAACCATGTTTTATTTATTTTCAGCCTAATGGAGGTAAACAAGTTCGTATTTATCTGACTATTATTCTCATGGGTCAAACAATTATATCTCCCGCAGCTAAAGGCCGTGAGATAAAACGAGATGATATTACATGTAAAATTACCTATTGCGCTGTTGGTAAGAATATAATAATTTTATAATATTTTTTAAATTTTTATTATTCATGGTTAAGTATCAACAACTAAGATTATTAGCTTACTACATTATAAATATTAGTTTTATAACAATAAATACTTCTTATGCACCAGCCTATAAACTCAACAGGATCAACTTGTTTCCCTTTTAAACTCTGCCTACATTCCTATTGATACTAAAAATATCTTCAAGCCWACAAAAAAATATTATATTGTACATTTTATTCTTTTTCAACCATACAGGCGTTTTAATATAGTCAAACATTTTGTTTTCTCTTTTATTTACAAGTAACTTATTTATATCTTGTATTTTATGTTACATAATTGTTGTAACTAATATTGTAACACAAAGTAAAAAAAAATAAAAATAAAATAAATACATAGAATTCACTAGATTGCATAATACATATTATCAATATAATTGAGAAATGAAATAATTCTATGATTGTTTTCATCAATGGGACACAGAGCTTCWAAGAGGCTGTCTGGAATTCCAAGGCTACTTCTTATTTCAAAAGTGCACAATGAGGTGTTTAATTGCAAATGGTTTTCCATAGGTTTGGCATAGTGTTGGTTCTTCTCTTTGTGTGRAATGTCAATGGGATATCTTTGTGTGACCTATATGTAGTCTGTTTAAAAATACTTCATCTTTACGGTCGATCGTATAAATCCTGTGTGGAAACACCACTTAGACAGATTGTTGAGGCAATCTTGAAGAAGACGAGTCATTGATTTAATATTTTTCCCTTTAAGATAGATATGAGTATCATCAGAAAATATAATTGATTTAACAGGAAATTTAATTGCATCCGATGGATTGTTAATTGCAGCTTGAAAAAGCAAAATACTTAAGTAGGAACCTTGGGGGACTCTGTTTTCAAGTATAATAATTTATATATATTATATAATACTATAAATTTCAGTAAGATTATAAATTTATAATTTACATTATTTCCGCTTAGGTTTAAAAATACAATTTCTACTAATAAGAGTTTCAGCTATAAAAAGTGTTTTGAATTTTTAAATTTCTTTCTATTATATTATCAAATCAAGCATRTCTAAAAATGTTCACCTATTAAATGATATACAACTTATTTTGTAAATTTTTCATCGGTATTAGTTTTAGTAAAACCATCAAAATTAAGAAACATTATATTACTCTAATCTAATATACAACCGCACTAGGTACCTTAAGCTTAGCTTTTAAAATGTTCTGGTCTCGAGATACAGTCTTTTCTACGTTTTTAAATTAAGTAATTTTAATTTTAATATACACTCAGTCAGCGGACAACTTATGCGCTATATAGTTTTATACATGAGCTAAGATTGGTTAATTTGTATTTCTTTATTTTATGTTACATATTATATTGCATTTTTTACATGTATAATACAATATTATATACAGTGAGTGTAAAAAGTATTCGTACACTCCGTGTTTTTGAACAAATATACACTTTTCTTTATAATATTTTATTTTTTGTTTTAAACCAACATTCACATAGTAATTGATATATTACTAAATGTATTACAAAACAAAAAAAATCATGATGACAGTAATAATCATAATAATAATTATAATAATAAATATTACTACAATAAATATTCGTACACCCAATAATTTTAACTAAATAAATATTTTTAAATCATTACATAATCTTGTTTAATATTTTGTAGGGTAGCCTTTGGACTTTAATATAGCCTTCAGTCTTCTAGACATTGAATCAACCAGATGAGATGTTGTTTCTGCAGTTATTTTATTCCATTCTTCTTTTAGAGCGTTTTTTAGAGTTTCTTTGTTTGAAATATTRTGCTTTCGAATTTTTTTGTCCAAATGGTCCCACAAATTCTCAATAGGATTAATGTCCAGAGATTGTGGTGGTGTAACAAGGTATTCTGTTACATTTTTAGACCACCAAGCCTTGACTTTTTTTGCAGTGTGCTTGGGATCATTATCTTGTGTAAACACAAAATCRTCCTTGATGCCCATTTTTTCAGCACTTGCTGTAAGATTTGACTTCAAAATATTTAAGTATATGTCTTGGTTCATAATGCCRTCAATAAAGTGCAAGTTTCCAACACCCTGAGCACTCATACAGCCCTAAACCATTACGAAACCTCCTCCGTATTTAACTGTATGTTGTAAATTCTTTGGTTCCATTTCTGCATTTGATTTTCTCCACACAAAACGTCTTCCATCTGAGCCGAAAATATTAAATTTACTTTTGTCTGTAAATATTACTCYATTCCAAAAATTAATAGAGCGATGTAAGTTGCCACTTGCAAAAGCAAGCCTCTTTTGTCTATTTTTCTTATTTACAAAATATTTTCAACGAGCTATTTGACCATGCTAACCACTGTTTTTCAAACAATTTCTAATTGTACTTTCACTAACATGTACTCCAGAAAAATTTGCAAGATTTTGTGCTATTTTAGGAGCGATAATTTTTGGATCCATCTTAACTGTTTGTATGACTATACGTTTGTCATGGTTCGAAAGTTTTTGTGGCCGACCAGGCCGTCGCTTATTTTTGTGACTTTTACGCTCACTGAATCGATCTATCACATCTTTTACAGTGCTATGAGCTCTATTGACAATTTTTGATACTTGACGTAATGATTGGCACTGATTATGCCATCTCAAAATCAGTTCACGTTCAGTTTTATTTGTTTCACATTTTTTTCAACCCATCTCATAATAGAATGATACTCCAACAATATTTCGAAGCAAACTGAATCGGGGAATTAGGGGTAATCATTAATAATGGGTATACGTTTATCATATCGTTTTCTAATAATATTATTCTGAGTAAATAGGCCTTTCCATCACTAAAATTGAAGTATACGAATATTTATTGCAGTTATATTTTTATTATTGTTATTATTATGATTATTACTGTCGTCATGTATTTTTTTTGTAATACATTTAGTAATACATATATAAATTACTATGTGAATGTTGGTTTATTGATAAAAATAAAATATTATAAAGAAAAGTGTATATTTATTCAAAAACACGGAGTGTACGAATACTTTTTACACTTACTGTAGTTTCCACCCATCCTTAAATAATTGAGTACTTACTATAAAATTATGCAATAATATTAAACCTTGCAACTTGATTGTGCCAAAAAGTTAAATTGGTCATTTTTAATAYATAATACAGCATATTATATACAATTGAATTATATTAATAAACAGTTGTGTTATGTTTCTTTTTACAGTGAATCCAGGCGGTTGGGCACCATCTTCCGTTCTGAGGGCAGTTTATAAACGAGAATATCCAAAATTTTTAAAACGTTTCACTGCTTATGTATTAGAAAAAACAAAAAACTTRCCAATAAAACTTTGAACAATCATATCATTGAACTATTCTGTTCTGGAAATTGGTTAAATTCTTTATTTATTTATTGTTTTATTRCTAGTAATTTTTTCATTCTTGCCTTCACTGTGTTATGTGTTATATTTGTGTACATATTATTCGTATACTGTGCAGTGTATATAATAATTTGTTAGAAATTAACCGGAATTCATGATTTATAATTATTAATTAACTATTATTTTTAGTAATGAATTGTTGTAAGCATATGTTATGGCTTCCAAATTATACCAAAACCAAAAAAGCTGTTTAGTTTATTTGATTTTTTTTAAATTTTTAAATTACAATTTTTATTGTAATCTGTTTTTTAATTATGTATTTACTACCTACTCAGTGTAATATTAATTTACATTTTTTTTAAACATTTATTATTTTTATATAATTATGTATAAACATAACGTCTTTGTAAAYTGCTATTAACTTCATGGTGTTTGTTACCATAGAAATGCTTGKACGTGGCAATAATGCCAATGGATTAGATATAGGACTGATTATTGTTTTCTAGCTTATTAAATTAAATTTTTTGTTGTTCATTTTTATATTTATACTGCCTAAAAATGTGAATAATATGCATAGCTACGTTTTTGACTTGTGTGTCTACACCATAACTGAAGATTTATTAGTACGTAAAATGTATATTTCCATCTTTGATATATATATATAAATGTAATTTAGATCACCTGGTATGAAAAATATAACATAATTATTGTCAGCCTGATATACCTACCTACATACAGATGTCAGATAGGTAGAGCCTACCATTGATTATAAATGGTACTAGTATTTATAATCAATGGTCCTACTCACGTTTCAAATAATAAATTCACACTATGTGTCATCCAAAATATCACGAGCGTATGTTTGTTTTCCTCTGTATCGTTCCTTCGCCATAATATTATTTACAATATAGTATCAGGTATTATAGATTTTTATCGTCGTTTTGTGTACCTATGGCTAGGGTTGTTGATGGTGATTAATATTGTGTCGTTGCCCTAACAACCCGCACAGCCGATAATAACTGTACGTCTATGCATAGGTACCTACCTACAGTAAAAGTTGTTACCGCTCTGCAACTCGACCGCGCGTTCTCCGGGACATGGCCAATAACAATAAGCTGGATTTGGTTACTTCGGATTTGTTCAACGACCAAGTCACTTTGGGTCTGTTGACCATTCTTGGTGAGTTTCAAAAACCTATAAGTYGCACAGTGGCGTGCGCAGGGGGGGATGATGGGGAATATATCACTAAATGTGTGGGAGGTTTGGATTAAAAAAAATGCATGAATTCATGTGATTATATAAATTTCTTATTCTGATTAAAAAAATACACGAACCGTATAATAATTACTTGTGTTACCTATAAAAAAAGTATCGCTTTAGTTAGATTTTGAAAAATATTCTAAGTTCTTCGGAATCTCAGACTTTGGTAAACAAAAATTCACAAAATAAATAAAAAATAAAAACAGTTTTTGATCAAGTGATTTTTATTACATTAATTATAGGTATGAACGTTAGAACTGAGAGCGTTGCTTTTATAGATTTATGGCATAATATAGTGGTGTGGTGTAGTCTAAATAGGTACTAACTACTCTGAACAGGTCATTATTATTATAATCTTTTTTATTCAGAAGGTTGGTTTTATCATCTGATTGTTTTTGTTTTTGTACTYAAACTTTATATTTTATTGTTTTTTATGTTGATCTGTTAATATTTTAATATATTGAAATCGTTAAGCAACATTTATAAACAAAAAAATTAAAAAAAGCTAATAAAACAAAAAATTATATAATAGGTATAATGCTTTCTTATTTCCTTATTTTCGGTTTTTATTTCGATCGAATTGTTGCAGAAAACACTCCAGGGGTGAGAAACTTAACGGTCAAACAGAGTCTGCCTTGTGACAAGGCAAAAATAAGTTTGTGGGAACAGCGGAACGGATGTATGCTTCCGGACGACGTCAGGTCATTTTACGCGTCGTGCGACGGGTTCAAGTTGACTTGGTCGTACAGAGTTGAAGGTACCTATCCCTAAAATACTGTTATTAACAATGTTTTTAACATCACCTATAACATAATATTATAGTCTATAGCAGTGGTCTTCAACCTTTATGGACTCGTGACCCACATTTTTAGGCCTACATTTTTCGCGACCCACGTAAGCTTTATAAAAAATCGAAAATTGCTTAATGCTTTGCAATAGTACGACTTAATACGACTAAAATAATAACGCTACTAACATTTATTATACTTCGTCTTTAAACATAGCAACAACATCGATAATATTTGTAGATTATGGGACTCTAACGACTATAGGACTCTATAGGATGTAGACACGTAGTAGGTAGGTATAATAGGTATAGGTATGCGCTTAAATTTTTTTTAACTATAAAATAGGTACACTATTTGTAAATCACAAAATTGATCGTTGTTATTCGTTAATAATTCTAATACATTCAATTAAGAACTATTTCATAATTTTACATCCCAATTATAGACTCGCAGAGCCGACCACAAATCAACTGTTTGTTAACATTTTTATTTTTCGATTATTATAAATTGTGGTTTCATTACTATTTTTATTAGCACGTACCTAAACATTCGTAAGATAATATTAATCTTACTATGATAAGTATGTCAATCGAGCATTTCGTATCAATTCGTATTTTTATTGTGTTTGTGTTATAATTGGTATGTATTAGTATTATAGGTATAACTATTTTAATTGATTTTAATACATTATAAAATTAATGATTTTGTATACAATGTTCACACCACGTTCAAGTTCAGCCAGTTCTCACCATAGTAGAGCGCAGACTATATTATGACCTATTATATTCATGGCATTTAATATTAAAGTTATTATCAAGTGTTTTAACTTCAACATTAATTTAAAAATAAAAATATTTTAGTTCTGTTGAAATTATAATTTTTAGTAGGTATGAGAAAATAGTTACTGGTTGTTAAGTTTGTACGAGTGTAAACAGTAATGTATACATTTTTTTACAACATTACCATATTTAATGATTGCTGTCAAACGATCGAGTACGATGTTTGGTCAATAGCGTAGGTACTAATAGGGGGATAACMCCGCTCCACCCCAAAATGCAGGTCTAAGTACGCCATAGTATTTGGTACAATCAATAAACTACCTTCAGGGGGGTGTACTAAAAATATGCATCCAGTCAAAATATAGAATTTTTCAAGTATCAAGGTATTATTACAGTAAGTTATTATTATTATTAGTAGTAGTATAACATCATACTATTATGCTTACAATTTTTTTCTTGAGAATACTATAGTAAATTATAATTTACTATTTAAATAAAAATATAATAAATAGTGCATTATAAGTTGTATAATCAGATTAAGATATAGTGCTAACTGTCTACTAGACAGGGACGGATTGGGTCATCAGAAATCGGGAAATTCCCGACAGGGGCCTCATACCAACTATAGAGTTGATGGGGCCACTGCAGCATGCCGTTTCAAACTCAATGGCTGTAAACTAAC